AAAATTGACACTCTAACATCACAATTAAAAGAACTAGAGAAGCAAGAACAAACACATTCAAAAGAAGGCTTAGTCTTAAGTGTGACATATGCAATGGAGATCTATCTGTCATCTGTCTGTCTGTCTGTCTGTCTATCTATCTATCTATCTATCTATCTATCTATCTATCTATCTATCATCTATCTTTTTGTTTGTTTGTTTGAGACAGAATTTAGCTCTTGTTGCTCAAGCTGGAGTGCAACGGCAAAATCTCGGCTCACTGCAACCTCCGCCTCCTGAGTTCAAGCGATTCTCCTTCCTCAGCCTCCTGAGTAGCTGGGATTACAGGCGCGCACCACAACACCCGGCTAATTTTTTGTATTTTTAGTAGAAGTGGGGTTTCACCATGTTAGCCAGGCTGGTTTTGAAATCCTGACCTTAGGTGATCTGCCCGACTTGGCCTCCCAAAGTGCTGGCATTACAGGCGTGAGCTACTGTACCCTGCCTATCTAATCTATCTATCTATCTATCTATCTATCTATCTATCTATCTATCTATCTATCTATCTATCAATCATCTATCTATATCTATCTATGTATCTATCTGTCTGTCTATCTATCTATCTATTATCTATCTATATCTATGTATCTATCTGTCTGTCTGTCTGTCTATCTATCTATCTATCTATCTACCTACCTACCTACCTACCTACCTATTTAAGATGAAGTCTCGCTCTGTTACACCCAGGCTGGAGTGCAGTGGCAGAATCTGGGCTCGCTGCAAACACCTCCTCCAAGGTTCAAGAGATTCCCCTGTCTCAGCCCCCGAAGTAGCTGGGATTACATATGCATGCCACCATGCACAGCTAATTTTTGTATTTTTAGTAAAGACAGGATTTCTCCATGTTGGCCATGCTGGTCTTGAACTCCTGACCTCAGGTGACCCACCTGTCTCAGCCTCTCAAAATGCTGGGATTATAGGCATGAACCGCCACGTCTAGCCAGATCATTATATTTTTAAATTTTTAAAATGTGTTTCCATATCTTGAAAGTTGTATTGACCCATCATTGTCTCTCTCTCTCTCTCTATATATATATATATGTGTGTATATATGTACACACACACACGCATATATTATATATATGCATATATATACATACACACACATATATATATGTTTTTTAAGATATATAAATATATCTTTATATATATTTAGTGCTTCAGTGGAAGAACAGAAGCCCCCTAAAAAAGGGCATCATTTCACTACTTTGACTACTAAATTCTGTTTTGTTTCTTATCAGAAGAGCAATCTTGTCAGATTACTTAAAAGAAAAGTTCGAGCTTGCAGTGAGCTATGATCACACCGTTGAACTTCAGCCTGGAAAACAGAGAAAGACCCTGTCTCTAAAAAAATTAAAAAAAAAAAATAAAGCAAATGGGTCACTCACCAGAATCTTCTTCTTAACTCACCACTCAAAGTCTTTCAGGCTGGATATGGTGTGAGGTTGCTTTGGGAACACTGGAGCTACTGACAAACTTCCTCATAGCCGTGAGCACACACATTATTTTCAGGCAACCTCCATTCCCATTGGTCTGTGCTTGTATATCACTTTTGCCAAGGAATATTAGGAATAAACTGGACTCCTTGGGGCATCCACACATGGGCTAGACCGAGGGGGTGCAGAGAGCTAGAATAGCCTCACTGAAGCAGTACTCAGGGATCACAGTGCCCTCTTCGTGCATGCCAGGGATCCAAAAGGGAGGCAGAGGTGCTGGGCAAGGTGGACTAGAAGGACCTGGGTCAGAATAAAGACACTGTGTTGGAAAGGACCTTGAGACCCATGGAAAAGGGACAAGATCATTGGCTCCCGTAGAGACTGGCTGTTTTTCATGACACACCTTCCAACCCCTGACATACCTCACAGTCAGCCCAGTAAACAGAGTAAGACAAGACCTTGAGTTTAAAAGATCACAGAAAATACGGGGGATACCACAGGGCATAGAAGATAAGAGAAAGAAACTACTACCATGAGGTCACTAAAGCCACACCTTTCTCCTATACTCAGATGCAATTTGAAAAGGAGAACAAACAGAGAAGAACTTTGAATAATCAAACAGTGACCCAACTGCACACAGCAGAGGTTGGTTAGTTAAAGAAATGCCTTAAATTATTGTCTCAGATTAGCACTAAATTACTGGCATGAGCTAAAATTTAGTCCCATCTACCACCAGCTCCCCATTAGTCAGGGGTTCATGAGAAATAACATATGAATTATAGGGAAATAAAGCAGCTATCTGTTCCTTGTGCATCTGAGCATCATACAAATGATGTGCAGCCCAACTGCCCATGTTTTTTCCTCATTGATATTTTCTACAGAAGTTTGCAGGTTCAACTAGTGCTTCCTGAACAAAAAATATAACATCTTAGGCTCCCATTTGTCTCTCATCTGAAAAGTTATTTAATCATGTGTGTCTATAAGATAAATTAATAAAGAAATACTCTAACATAGGTAAATGGTACTTTTCTGAGGGGCAGAGATTGTATTCAGAATTTCCCAGTACCTTTTCACCAAATACACACACACACACACACACACACACACACACACACGCAGTATCCAGAAAAGTTTTTGGTACCTAATAGGCATTTCATTGCTATTTGATAAATTGTGTGGGGTGACTACACATTGGCCTACAATGAACATTTATGCATATTGGGCAAAGGCTTTCAGAGACTTGCTTGGCAATGAAGGCGTATGCACACTGTAGTTCTCTGAGTTTTTGGAATTACTTAGATGTCCTTAGTCTGGTAAGACATTTTCAGGGATATGATTAGAAACAAAATCTTGATAATTTGTCCTTACACAAATTATCAATATCAATAGCCCTTGGCATAAATATCTAGGTTTTATTATGGGACACTTTCTTTTGGTTCATTCTTTTGAAAGAAAGACTGGTTTAAAATAATGCTCAATGTCTGCCTGTCTCTGCTGGTGATAATTACCTTATATTCTTTTAGCATGTGGGTTATAATTTATAGAACTCCTTTCTACTATAGAATAAAATGATTGGACTTTGTATTTGTTCCCCAATCCAAGCCTCACTGACGATTTCTAAGCTACATAAATATTTTCCAGGACTCTAGAAGCATAAGGAAAGAGATAGAGGAAAGGAGAAATGAGCTATAGAACTCTAGAGCCAAAGGCAGAAGAGTTGACAATGAAAGATAAAAGTTAAAATGTATGAAGATTTGATTGTGCTAGAAAATGTGCCAAACACTATCATTTATGTATAAGGCAATCAACAGGTTTTCAAAAATGCAGGCTTATCATTGGAAAATAGGTGCCAAGTATTATTTCCTAGATTGCATCTTCTGGTAAACAGGAGAGTCACTGATGGAGGGCAGGATTCGCAGGGCCTTCCCAGGTTTGGAGGGTTCTGGGGCCCTGTGCTGCAAAAGGCAAAGAATGTACTGGAGGTGAGTGTGCCCGTTTAATGGGACAAAAGCAAAGGATTAAACAATCCAAGGCCAAGAAAGGAGAAAACAATGACCTAAGACTGTAAGAAAGAATCTTGCTATCTTAATGTCTTCATGTTGTCTCCATGTTTGTTATTATTATTTTTTTGGCTTTCCTCCTAATACAGTGGATCTGGTTTTAGTGGCAATATAAGATGTGGCAATATAAGATGGGGGAAACTTGATTAGTTTGTGCCTCACTCCTTAGAAGATGTGGCTTGAGTAAAACCCTAGGGATAAAGTGGCAGTAGTTACTAGCATAAGTACATGACAATGTCCTTGATCCCAGGGTCTAAGAGAAAAAAAGTGAAGTCTAAGTGGGTTTGAGAGACAGCTTTGGCCTCAAGCAATAAAAGGACCTGTAAGTACAATATCGTGAAAGGCTAATTTCCAGTTCAGCATCTAAAAAATGATATTCCCTAAATTCTCTTTTAGCTGTATCTGTATCACGATGTAAAATGTCTTTTCCTTGTCTGAGAATTTGTAATCTCATTGTTCTTTCAGTGGAGTGAAACTCATAGGTAAATGTTAAGCTACAGGGCCCATGTATGAGTGATTCTTTTCTGAATTCTCAGAGTTTAGCAAGTACCAGAGGCATTGTGAATAATGAAGAAGAAGTGAATGAATATTGAATGATAACTATGCCCCTCATCTCTCTTTTTCCCTAATTAATGATTAAAAACAGTCCTCAACCCATGAAGATGGGCTTGATAGATTCCATCGCATGCTTAGCTTTATGGTTTTCCTCTTCACGCTTGCCTATTAAACATTCAGAACTGTGCTCTCTGGTAGTGTATTTTCTGAGCTTGAATTTAATAAACCCATTCACACTATGAGAAAAAATGAGTGAATGGGCAATTTCATTTTACGTGATGAGTCATTGTAAAACAAACAAGAGAAAAGCCTCTGGTAGCATTTCATGTAAGGGAAGAGAGGAGATTTTGGCAATATAGGGAGCTCATAGGGTCTCTGGAGCCCTCAAATCTCATACCGTGCAAATGGTCCTGATGTGGGTAAAGCAACCCTAAGAAGGACTTCTCAATGAGGGGAGCAAAGCGTCTTTTAATGAGCTTATGAACCACCAAATTCATAGTAGGTTCTCTCTTCCCACTACAGAGACAACATCCTTTTGCCACAGCCCAGTGCCTTCACTGTGATAATTTTGCCACAACTTAACTGGGGCAGAGCACTGTAAATATGTAGATATTTTATTTCAGCTCTCCAATGACCCAAAACCAGTTCCTATTATTAATAATTCCTGTAAGGTTTATCTCTGGAGCATTCAAGAAGAAGCACCATGACTTCTACAATAAGAAAAGACCAGGCTGCAGATTTCTGCCCTGAATTATATCCTGAGCTTCTTCATTATTTACTGAGATTCCTGAAATGCAAACAACCAGAGTGTTATCAGGCAAAGGCAGATCCCCTGAGCCTTTTATCATTCTAGCTGCAATTTTGCATATTTCCTTTATAACCAGACAGCATACCAAATGAAGCTAGACTCTTTAAAGGGAAATGAGGCAATTGGAATGTCAATTTTATTTAGTAATATATTGTAAAAACTAAACAGCATATCCAGCTGATTGACAAAATCCATCCAACTGTTAAAGGCAAAACAAAACTATCTCAAGAGGTACAGTTATGCAGATCTTGCTTTTACCTACAGGCAGATATTTAAAGAGAGAGAGACACACACACAGAATATTGAAGCAGAATGCTACATATGGAATTGTCCAACTAATAAAATTCAGAGAGAGTGAGGAACTCAAAATCAGGGATATCATGTCATATTTTCTCTCTTCTTCTTCAAAGAGCCTTTTAGCTTCTTCCACAGGCTGTCTTTTCTCTTCAGTTTCTTTTCCATCAAGGATGGCATGGACTCCTTCTTGCGAATTTCCCTCACTAAGCCATGAAAAGCATCATCGATACAGAATCTGAGGGCTGCGGAGGTCTCAAAAAAACCACAATTATATTCTTGGGCCAGATTCAAGCCTTCTTCTGTAGAAACCTAAGGAAAAAACAAATAATATTTAAAAGACAGAAAGAGAAAGACTCTTCAATTAAAAATATGTTCTCTACTAGAGCTGTGGACCCCAGTTACATTTAAAATATATAGCAATGTGAGAATTTGTTTTAAGAGAGAATCCTAGAATTTTAGAATTTGAAGGACAAATGAGAAGTTAGAATCCTTGAAAGGATGACTGATTTAAAAATTGAACTAGAAATTAGCTCTCTGGAATTCAAAAAAGCAACATAGCAAAGTGGTCAAAGAATAGCTTTATATTAAATCTGCTTTGTTTCAAGTACCAGCTGAACTACATTTCAGCTTTGCAAACTTGGGTAATTTTTTTGACTTTTTCCTCCCCCGATTTCCTCAGTGTAAGATATTAATATCTACCTCAAAACCTCTTTGTTAGGGTTAAGTGAGATCATCTAGAAGAGGCACATGCTGGGCACATGTGTAAAGCTCTATAAATGTTAGTTGTTATTATAGTCCAGAGCTTTCACTTAAGAGTAAATTGAAGAGATGGAGTTATCATAAAATTTAAAAAATAATAATCTATCAAAAGAAAATGAAAAGCAAACACCACCATTACGGGTAAATAAGCCCCTCTCTAGCCAAATATTCTGGAGCAGGTTTGACTCTCCATAAGTTTTGGTGGCACTTATCCAGACTGTGGTTCATGCTGTTGTAATGGATCTCTAGAGATCATAGACTGACTGAGGCCAGGGACCATGTCTGTCTCACTTATCATTCCTTTAGTATCTACTACAACTCCTGGTGCCTACATCACCATTAGAAGTATTGGAAGAGTTTAAAGAATGATCAACAAAATTACCCAAGGTTGAATAAATATTAAGTAAAATATAAAGATAAATTATACACATATATTAGCACAGTGGATTCTATGTTCCTGTAGCTGGTACTAACATTCCTACTCAAAATTTAGTGCTCCCATGAAGCCCTACCAGATTATCAGTCCAGAATCCTGAGTTACCAGGACTCTGAATAATAAATAGACCTCCTAACTCACCCATTTTGGATGTGTGGTATAACTAAGAAAAAAAAAACAAAACAAAACACACACACACACACACACAACTTTATTCTTTTAAGTTGTTGACATTTTGCGATTGTTGCAATCAGGGCAGAAACCAACTTTTAAAACTGTTACAACACATCATATGGTTAGTAAGTGGCTGAGCTGGAGTGTAAAAATCTATCAAGTTTATCTGATCCCAAAGACAGGTTCTAGATTGATCTCACTACTGGCTGTTAAACAGAGATGAGTAACTTGTTACATTTTAACCCTATGAGATAAAACATGTCTGGATTCTCTCTCTTTTTAAATTTTTTTTCATTCCTGCTGGTAAACATACCAATTTTTTTTAGCTCATTTCTATCTTAAAATAACTTAAGAAATGCAGTGAAAACAATCAACTAAAGCTAATAACATTCTGAATTGCCAGCAATTAGGCAAAGTTGTCTATTAAGTAACTTCCCTGATTTTCAAGTTATCACAAGTGATAATCTTACCAAATGGTATGACACTGTATAATGTGGGTTACCATTTATTTTTCAGTCACCTGTAAGAATTTTCCCCACCCAGAAGCTAATGATGCATATTTTACGTTTTTTTATAGCAACACAACAGTTCTGGAATTATTTTCTATATTTATTGGCCTTCATTAGGTTACACTCATATTAATACAGCCTAAATGCCTCTGTGACTTGCAAAATATTTTTTGTTTTGTTTTGTTTTGTTGCTACACTGCTTTCTAGCAGCCAAGGAGTAGATTTTTGACAGCTCAGCTCCAGGCTGTCAGGTGGGTTCTGGTGTATTCCTCTTGTCCTCTTATTTTGGGACTCAGGCTAAGAGAGACCCTCTTATCTTGGAAATGATATTCCAATACTATAGAGAAGATTCACAGGAGGCAGAAATTATTTTACCTATATCCCAGGGGCCAAATGACACATGGAGAAACGTAAAGTCAATGAGGCGGGACATATGCTCAACTCACATTGAAGCATGGCCAGAATGGAGAGAAAACACAGAATTTCAAAAGAATGATTCAATTGATCACAGTTAATATAAATGCATTACAGTCTCCAACTTTAAAAGACAAAGACTGTCCAACCAGATTTTACAATAATCACTTGCAGTTGCAGTACATTATATGTAAAGATATAGAAAGTGAAATTTGAATGGAAATTTACACATGAAAAAAGCTACTGTAGTTTAAATATCAGACAAAGTAGACAGTAAGTAAAAATAGAGCATTATTTGAGCAAAAGGGAAATATTTTATAATAGTAAAGGAAAATATTATACTAATTAATTATTATGTACTAAAAATATAGTCTCAGTTTAAATTTTAACAGTTGACAAAATAAAATCCAAAAGTTTAGTGGGATATTTTAATGTATCTCTCTCAGCAATTGAAAGAACTGGTAACAATCCTATTGACACTACTCCACAAGATAAGGAGAGAATCCTCTCTCCCTAAATCATTCTATGAAGCCAGTATCACTCTAATACCAAATCCAGGAAAGGACATAACAAAAAAAGAAAACTGCAGACCAATATTCCTGATGAATATAGATGCAAAAATCCTTAACAAAATACTAGCTAACAGAATCCAATAGCACATCAAAAAGAAAATCCACCACAATCAAGTGGGTTTCATACCAGGGATGGTTTAACATATGCAAGTCAATAAATATGATACACCACATAAACAGAATTTAAAACAAAACTGACATGATCATCTCAATAGATGCAGAAAAAACATTTGACAAAATCCAGCATCCCTTTGTGGTTAAAACCCTCAGAAAAATCGGCATAGAAGGGACCTGCCTTACTGTAATAAAAGCTATCTATTACAAACTCACAGCCAATGTAGTACTGAATGGGGAAAAGTTGAAAGCTTTCCCCCTGAGAACACAAACATGACAAGGATGCCCACTCTCATCCCTTCTATTCAACATAGTACTGGAAGTCCTAGCCAGAACAATCATAAAAGAGAAAGAAATAAAGGACATCCAGATTGGTGAAGAGGAAGTAAAAATGTTGCAGTTTGCTGATGATATAATTTTATACCTAGAAAACCCTAAAGACTTATCCAAAAAGCTCCTAGATAAATGAATTCAGCAAATTTCAGGATACAAAATTTATATACACAGATCAGTAGCTCTGCTATTCACCAACAGCAACCAAGCTGAGAATGAAATCAATAACCCGTTTTACAATAGCTGCTAAATAAATAAATAAAATACTTAAGAATATACCTAACCAAGGAGGTGAAAGACCTCTACAAGGAAAACTACAAAACACTGTTGAAAGAAATCATAGATGACAGAAACAAATGAAAACACATCCTGTGCTTGTGGATGGGTAGAATCAATACTGTGAAAATGACCATACTGCCAAAAGCAATCTACAAATGCAGTTTCCATCAAAATACTGTCATTCTTCACAGAACTAAAAAAAAAAAAAAATCCTAAAATTCATATGGAAGCAAAAAGAAGAGCACATAGCCAAAGAAAGACTACGCATAAAGAAGAAATCTGGAGGCATCACATTACCTGACTTCAAACTATACTGTAAGGCCATAGTCACCAAAACAGTGTGGTACTGGTATATAGGCATATAGATAAATGGAATAGAATAGAGAACCCAGAGGCTGGGCGCGGTGGCTCATGCCTGTAATCCCAGAACTTTGGGAGGCCAAGGCGGGCGGATCACAAGGTCAGGAGATCAAGACCATCCTGGCTAACATGGTAAAACCCCATCTCTACTAAAAATACAAAATATTAGCTGGGCGTGGTGGCGGGCGCCTGTAGTCCCAGCTACTCAGGAGGCTGAGGCAGGAGAATGGCGTAAGCCCAGGAGGCGGAGTTTGCAGTGAGTCGAGATTGTGCCACTGCACTCTAGCCTGGGCAACAGAGTGAGACTCCATCTCAAAAAAAAAAAAAAAAAGAGAGAGAATAGAGAGCCCAGAAATAAAATCAAATACTAACAACCAAGTGATCTTTGACAAAGCAAACAAAAACATAAAGTGGGGAAAGGACACCCTGTTCAACAAATGGTGTTAGGATAATGGGCAAGCCACGTGCAGAAGAATGAAACTGCATCCTCATCTCTCACCTTATACAAAAATCAACTCAAGGTGGATCAAGGCCTTAAGTCGAAGACCTGAAAACATAGAAATAATAGAAGATAACACTGGAAAAATCCTTCTAGACATTGGCGTAGGGAAAGACTTCATGAGCAAGAACCCAAAAGCAAATGCAACAAAAACAAAGATAAATACTTGGGACTTAATTAAACTAAAAAGTTTCTGCACATCAAAAGAAACAATCAGCAGAGTAAATGAACAACCCACAGAGTGGGAGAAAAGCTCTGCAATCCCACAGAGTGGAAGAAACCCCACAGAGTGGAAGGAAATCTCCACAATCTATCCATTTGACAAAAGACTAATATCCAGAATCTACAAGAAACTCAAATCAGCAAGAAAAAAACAAACAATCCCATCAAAAAGTGGGCTAAGGACATGAATAGACAATTCTCAAAAGAAGACATACAAATGGCCAACAAAAATATCAAAAAATACTCAACATCAATAATGATCAGAGAAATGCAAATCAAAACCAGATGCAATATCACCTTACTTCTGCAAGAATGGTCATTATCGGAAAATCAAACAATAATAATAGATGCTAGCATGGATGTGGTGAAAAAGGAACACTTTTACACTGCTGGTGGGAATTTAAACTAGTACAAACACGGTGTAAAACAGTGTGGAGTTTCTGTAAAGAACTAAAAGTAGAACTACCAGTAGATCTAGCAGTGCCACTACTGGGTATCTATCCAGAGGAAAGTAAGTCATTATACAAAAAAGATACTTGCACATGCATATTTATAGCAGCACAATTCACAATTGCAAAAACATGAAACCAGGCCAAACAACAAGTGGATAAATACACACACACACACACACACACACA